TTTGGTAACCCAGAAGGCATTCTAGGGTGTTTTGAGTTGAGGCATAAACACTGTAAACTGTATAGAAATTGTTACTCTTTCAGATGTCTCTGCTCTGAAAGCATCACTAGGCAACTGACTATTTTTAATGTCCCACTTGAACACACAACAAAATGCAACTTGAAGTCCTTGAGTCTTATCTGTGTCTGTACTAGGACATTATGCTGACACAGCTAGAACAGGAGCTGCAGTCAAGGTAACTTCAAAGTTGAATATACCCTAAATATTTATTTCCATCATAGGTTTTTAAGGCACTGAGGATCTTTAGGGGACTACATATTTTTTGGGGTGTTAAACAGCAAAGTATATAAGCACTTGAGGAATTCCTTGGTTCACGTGCTGAACTGGTTGTGTGCTTGAGTGTCTTGCTGGGAGACCTTGGACTGCAGATAGATTTGCTTGATGGTGTTAATTTAACCTTGCTGAGAAACAGCAACAAAATTGGAAAGAGTAATTTATGTCGTAAGTACACACATCATGTTGTGTACTTTGCTTGGAAGCCATAAATCTCCTCTGTGCATCAAGGTAGAACATGGACACTCTCCACTGACAATAACTCATCCCTCTGACTTCATCCAGTACAGAAGATGAATTTATCTTCAGCCATTTTTTCTGCACAAAGAATGATTCTGTTTGGTCTTCGGATGGAATATAAATACTAACAGCACCATCTGCTGTCTGTGTGCCTCTGCCATTCGGGGGCTGATGGAAATTTCCTAGAGAAATTTTGGGTAGAAAAATCCTTAAAGAAAGACTTCCTCTGTTCTGCTTCCTTTCTGCTCTTACTTTATAGGCATTGATATGAATTAACAGCACTTTTTTATTAGCAGTCCAGGGAAACGAGGTTCTGTTTAGCTTTGGAAGAGCAAAAACTGAATGTTAAATGGGCAGCTGTTAGAGAGAACAGAGTTAACTACAGTGGGGCCTGTTCAGAGCACAGGGCAGAAGAGTGAATGTGCCTTATCCAGCATGGCACAGCTGGGTGGCTGCCCTCCAGGGCTTTGTCCTGTGTGCTTTGCAACTTCAGCTTATATCAAAATAGTTCTGTGGCATGTAGATAGTCCACTGTTCATATGGTAGAGGAAATCTTTAGTGCTCATGAGCAGAGTATGTAGAGCTGGTGATCCCGTTACACCAGTGCAACATCAGAGAAGGCATTTACCTCCCTTGAAAGCAGTCTGTGATTATGCTTAGGATGTAAGTCTGAGGCTTCAGCCTGATGGAAATACTGCAAAGCCTTCGATCTAGCCTGTGAGCAAGTTTTAATTGATCCTCCTCCCATCAAATAAATCTGATTAGTTGGGGCAGGAGTACAGGCAGCTTATGCCATAATTTTGATGATGAAATGGAGACTCCAGTAAGGTACAAGGTTCTGTATCATGCACTTCAGAATAATCACCCAGTGTGTGTACAAGTGCCTGATGCTGACCAGGATGCTTTCAGTAGCTCTTTCAAAAGGAGCATCATTTGTTTGCCTTTGCATAAGTAAATGTCACTGTCATGCAGATTTTTTAAAAGAATCTCCCTGTTTCATGCAGAAAGATGATTTTGGAGCAAGACAGTGGTTGTTGTAAGGAAAAAAGTAGAGCAAGATGCAACTAACTTGTGTTGAGGTTTTAGTGAACACCCTGATTTTACTGGCCTAGCTTCCGTTTGTGGGGGAACACATCTCACCCGACAGTTAACCAAGGAAGATGATGGGGAAAGAAGTCCTTCTACCCCACACACACCTACTATGTCTATTTTTTTTCTCATTTCACTCACTTAGCTCAGTCACACATGATTAACCAGCTAATATCTACATCTCTTAGAAGCCTGATATTCTCTAACAGGAGACCTACAACGGCCTTTGCTAGAAACCACCTTACAGGATTAACAGGGTTTGATTTCTGTCCCTGGTGCACTGCTTATCCAAGTGTAACACAACTGAAATACCAACCAGTCAGGTTTATTAGCCTCCCTAAAACACCATGCCAGAGAAATAGTGCCCAAAGTTTGAATGCTTAAAATAAGCCCAGGAAGGAAGCGTGGGCACTGGCTTCGGCTGCGTTAGCACGGCCATGGCTTGCATGTGCAGCAGAGAGTTCTGATCACAGAGAGGGATGTTATAAAATCAGTTGCTAATTTCTGCCTAGAAATCCTGCATCTCCTTCAGGTGAACGGTGTGGAAGGTAACTAATCCTTATATTCCTGTGTAAAAGGGCTGTGACACATGGATTTTATGGGTTTTTTTCCCCGTTTGCATTACGATTGATCCGTTTGCCATCTCTTCTGGTTATGGTCCATTTGTTTCCCATAGGGTAGATGGGACTACACCACATTTCATGGTTATCATGCCTGTTGCCGTTACGGGTGGTTTTAAAGATGATAAAGTTAATGAAAACAAAATCAAGCAAAGTTATGTTAGGACTGGAGTGCAGCCATGTTACAGCTGAACCCTCCAGCCTCTGTTTCAACACTACAAAACAACATGCATGGGAGCTCACGAAAGAAGCTTTAAACACCAAAGAGAGCACCAAAATAAAGCAAAAGGTGTGAAGCTGGGGACTGTTTCCAGCATCCTTCCCTTTTTGCCCTCCTGCAGGTCGGGAGCCGCAGGGTTATCCAGTATGGGGCAGCCTTCATGCTGCTGCTGGGGATGGTTGGCAAGTTCAGCGCCCTCTTCGCCTCGCTGCCCGACCCCGTGCTGGGTGCCCTCTTCTGCACTCTCTTTGGTAACGTATCCCTTGTGCTGCCCTCTGTCCTGAGTGACTCTTGTTACTCTGCTGCTGCCTTTATACGTATGTTGCTGTATGACATCCGACTGCATAAGAGCTGAGCCTTGCTTTGTTTTTCTGTAGGGATGATTACAGCTGTGGGTCTGTCTAACCTCCAGTTCATAGATCTGAACTCCTCTCGGAACCTCTTTGTACTTGGCTTTTCCATTTTCTTCGGACTTGTCCTTCCAAGCTATCTCAAACAGAACCCACTGGTCACAGGTAGGTGTTTCTGCTCGTTGACACGAGGGATACTGTTACCTTGTACTCACATGCAAAGTACATACAGGTGCAAGGTAGTGTAAAGGGCAAATAAGAGAACAACCAAAGGATTATGCAGACACTAAAAGCTGCTGTCCTGGTTCCGTGTAAAAAGGGGTTCAGGGCAGGACCCACATGGAACAGAACTATGGACTCGCCTCTCCCCCCCTGAGAGAGAGAGAGAGAGAGAGAGAGACTTTTGAAAAAAAATGAAGTATATTGTTCAACAAGGAACAGAAAACGAAAAAGGGAGGTAAGGAAAATAATATATACAAAGATTAGGGGAAAAATACAAAAAATAAAATATACACAACCCTCAGAAATGGTTCTAGGGTCCCACGGAGTGAAAGGAGAACTTTCCTCTCCGAGCTCCAAGGTAGGAGGGAAATAAGAACCCACTCCCTGCCTCTTATCAGAGTGTGTGTGGGAAGGGGAGGGAATACAATGGTTCACCCCCACCCGGGGTCCTGCCAGTTGCTGGAAGGTCACGCCCCCATTCCAAGCCTCAAACCACAACAGCTGCAGACAGGAAGGCAGGTGTCTTCCGAGGAGAATTGAGATACTGAGATCTGAAGTGGATGTTTCTGGGGTACATCTGAACTTGCCCTGCTTGCTCTGGATGCAATTGTAGAGCAATGGAAGGAGGCAACTCCCAGTTAAACTGGAGGAAAGACTAAAAAGGTGAATCTGGGTCCTAAATGATGTTAAAAGAATAAGGGGAAATACCAAGGTGGAATGTAGAAGCTAGGAATTTGTTTTGGGGTTTTAAAGTTTTTTAATCACTGTGTACATGTGTTCTGAATCTGAATTGGAATGAACCCAGTTTCAGACTGACAACCAGATTGTTTTGGGTAAATTCAGGGAGACAGCTTCCAGTTTTAATGCTGCCCTCTCAGTAGTGGCTGTGGCAGTGTATGTCATCAAAGGAAGAGTCTCCACAGGAATAGTGAACTTGTTTGGGTTTGGCTGCTTTGGTTTTGTTGTTTTTGTTTGTTTGTTTGTTTTGGTTTTTTTTAGGGTAAATGTTAACTAACTTTATATAGGTATTGCTTCAAAACCAGATTTAAGAGCATACCTAACCTACTTCAGGTTGTTCAGAAAACAGGATCATTCAGGGAGAGTTAGGTGATGATATATTAATACAATGTTCTTCTGTGAATTGATGATCTAGGTCTTGCCCTTTTAACAAGTCAGGCTTTGTGAGAGGAATTATTTCAATCCACACACTTTTACATTATAAATGTTTCTCCTTTTCATTTTGTAGTTTAATTTAAACAGTTGTGCCTGCAGTAGAAACTAGAATGGCATTTACTGACATTTTGATAAGCAACTGAAGGTTCATGAGGTTAATGTTTTGGGGAAGAAGAGGTCTCCAAGGTGGACTGCATGGGGCAAAGGTTCTTCTGCATCTATTTCCACGTGGTTTTCAGAGCCCTGTTTGAGCAAATCCCTCAGTGAACTCAGGAGCAAGTCTTCCCAGCTGACCTGCATGTAAATCAGTAGGATGTGTATGCATACAATAAAAATCCAAATTCTACCCATATTTTTTCCCTGTTCTCCCAGGAATAGCAGGCATCGACCAGGTGCTCAATGTCCTCCTCACCACAGCCATGTTTGTCGGCGGCTGCGTTGCGTTTATTTTGGATAATACCATTCCAGGTCAGCACCCAGACTTCTCATCTTACCTGAAACAGTAACTGCCTTTCTGAATGAAGGTAGCACCGTGGTCCAGGGGAGCAGGAGATGGGGAGAGCTTATGGCTTTGTGGTTGACTTCTTGAACACCTAGAGCCCAACATCTACAGGCCTCAGTTTCCTTGAGGAGCTTTGAACCTTTTTCGGGTTAAGGTCTCCAAGCTCTTAACCATACAAAATAGCTGATAAATATCCAACCAGAATAGTCTTCTTCAGAGGACAGAGTAAAAATATTTTTAAGATCCAACCTGCTTCCATTCATCTCAGAGCAAAAATTTAACTTCACTTCCAGTTACAAAATGAGACAGATATTTGTCATTTTCAGTAAATAATTTTTTTTCCCCCTCTTCCTTCCTCTTTGAGGTGTCTGGATCTTTCCAGTGCTTTGCTGAGCATAGTGTTCTGAGACTTGAAGTTTTCTTTTTTCTCTTAACCTCTGCTATGTGTGTGTGTGTTTACATAGAGATATTCATGTATGTGTTTGGGTTTTCTTTTTTCCTTTTAACTTCTAGGAAGCCCTGAAGAAAGGGGAATACGGAAATGGAAGAAAGGGGTTGGTAAGGGCAGCAAGTCACTGGAAGGCATGGAAACGTATGATTTGCCTTTTGGCATGAACTTTATTAAAAAATACAGGTGTTTCAGCTTCCTGCCCATCAGCCCAACCTTCATGGGTTACACGTGGAAAGGCTTCAGGAAAAGCAGTAGCTGCAGGAGTTCAGACGAAGACTCGGAAGCTACAGTATAGCCTTAGCTGAAATTCTATTATCTAGTTGTAGTAAAAGATGTATTTGCAGTTTCTTGCTGATTAAGAAGCATTAAAATATATGTTTTGTATATCTGCATTTAAATTCTGGAACCAGAGCTGAGACAGATTTTAAAAAAAAAAAAAATAAAAAAAAAAAAAAAGAGTAGCAGCTAAGAAGCTTTCCTGTCGTGGGTGGTGGTGGCCAGATCTGGTGTCTCTGGGTCGGATGCTCCTGGGGTTTTTTTCAGCAGCTAGAGATCCCTGCACAGCATTTAAAGTTCTGGAGGTATGGAGGTGCTATTGAAAAATGTTACTTTCTAGGGTGATTTTATTTAAGCCTCTGCCTCTGGCATTTTTGGTGCATTGCTGGCAATGTTCATTACGCCAGAAAATTGGAATCTTGAGGGGAGGGAGGGGAAATTCTCCTAGTCATGACAAGTCACATAGATTTTGCTTTCTGCTCACCAATTGGCACATGCCATGTTTTCAGCCCCCTGGAAACCAACCTCCATTGATACTGGCAAATCATCAGAGCCTTTTTTTGCATCACTTGGCTGTCCAGTGTTAAGACAGGAAACTCTGTAATAACTTTGCTGACAAAAACTATGACTGCCTTCTGACAGCTTAGTGCTCTAGAAGGAACCACTTATTTCATGTCAGTTCACGTTTTTAAACCCTTACTTTTCCATCTGGCCTTTAACCACCAAATTACAGTGTCCAGCTTCAAGATTTCTTTAAAGAAACCTCTAAAGAAGGATTAAAGGGACACCCGTAGTTTGATTTTTACAGAGGTGGGAAACTCACCTTCCAGATGGGACCCGGTAAGAGTTTCTACAGTGCCTGGAGATGTTTCCTGGGCAGAAATGCTGATTAGTTCTAAACAGTTAATATTCACACAGCTTTCCCTGCAGGGGAAGCCACTGGCCAGAGTGCTGCCAGCACTCCCTGCTCTGAACCTGGGCAGAATTCTCTTGGGTTGGATGTCAAGATGCTGCCTACGAGCAGCTTATGCTGCGTTGCCTCTTTTTCTCTCTGGCTGAGGCTTCTGCTAAAGCTTGTTCCTGCTGCTGCGGTGACCTGGAGTGGCAGAGACACTACATTTGGTGTCCTCACCCCCTGGATGGTTTAACGGGTATTGGGTCCAATCAGGGCACCATTCAGATCTTTTTTTTTTTTTTTTTTTTTTTTTCCCCCCCTGGAATAGTCTCAGCTCTGATGTTATGTGGGTGTTCATGCTCATCATGCATTCATAATTAAAAGTTTTATTCATGTTTAATGTTCTTACTATTGCAAGTTAGTTTTAGATTTCAGTGTGGCCCCCAAAGCATTTTTAAGCTGTGGAGTTCATCAGGGAATTGTAGTGTAATGTAATTTCAAGGCCAGTATGCTCTACGGTGCTCGCGTTTTGTACTCCTGGAGAAAACCCGACAGCAGATCCTGTAATTCACTCACATTTCTCAAAGTTTGACTACTGGATGGAGCGCAGGAACTCTGCTTTCTCTTGAGTCTACTTCCAGGTGAATTTGTTCTTGGTTGTTGAAGCATGGAAGGGTTGGGGTGGGGAGGGCAAGGAAGGAGCTTAACGGATGGGTTCTGAGTAGTGTAGAGTGGGAATGATCCCGTTGATGTCGTTCTCAGCATGCCATGGCTGTTCCCAGAAACTGTTTTATCCCGCTTGTTCCATAGCAGAGCATGTCTTGGTTCCTGCTTCAGGGAACTTTCAGTAGTTTGCAGTCTCAGTGTCAATTGGACTATCTCAAAAGCTGGTCGGAAGAGTTGTTGTGTAGTAGACAAGGTTAGTTTGCCTGTGAAACAGACATTTTTATAATTTTAAAACTTTTCCTCTTCAGGTAGCGAGGGGTTAGATTTCCACATCCAGTTGCAGATAGCTTTGAGCGTGGAGACCTCTGATCAGTGGCATGAAGCTTCCAAATTTCCCAACTTTATGTGCAACCAAAGATGTGTGGGAAACATGGAGGGGTTAAACATAGGTATATATTAAAGGAAAAAAAAAAAAAGGCCACTTAGGTACAGTGGTTGTTGTGATGTAAAATGCCAAAGTTGGTTATCTCACAGATGTTGTGAAAGGGAGGCAAAAATTGGTTTAGTTTTTTAAAGAGTGCCACTCAGAAACGGTGACATGTCGAGTCATGGAGCGTGGCAGTGAGACCTTTGTCCTGGGGCTTTTCTGACTTCTCCCCCCAAATACTCCCCCCTGCAACACGGGAAGGGGCTGTCCAAATGGGGGAGGTCTGATAACCCTGGTGAACTGTTGGACTGAAATCTTTTTGTGACTTCTGTGTTGATTCTGTGGACTGGCTGAGAAGCGCCGGAGCCTTTTGCCAGTGTGCTTGCTTTGGTAACACTAAAATAAGGAGCTGTTGTCAGTCGTTTTTGTAACCAAATCTGCATCTGTGACAACTCTCTTCATCTTACTGTGAAGATGAATGGTTAAAGCTGAGGCTCAGCACTGCAGAGGAGATCTGCCGAAGCAGCTGTAGTGTATAGCGAGGGGTTCTGGTGGAGCTGAGGAGTTCTGGTGGAGCTGAGGGGGTTCTGGTGGAGCTGAGGAGTTCTGGTGGAGCTGAGGAGTTCTGGTGGAGCTGAGGGGTTCTGGTGGAGTCCCTGGGTACAGGGCATGCAGCAGCTGCACCCCAGCACTGCCCGTTACAGGGGGTGTCCCCAGCGCAGGAGAGAAGCTCCCTGTTCTCTTTCCCATGCACCCATCCTGGAGCTGCCACTGGAAGAAGACACTTAGTGCTCTTCTCAGTGAGGGCAGTAACTCTGCCCTGCCCCCGGGTTGGTGCAGTTGTGGACCTTAAATCTCCCTCCTGCCTTTCTGCCCGGGTGCTGGGTGGCTGCTGGGCAGAGGTGCCGCAGAGGATCCGCGTGCGGGGCTGGACGGCCTCGAAAACAGCTCGTGCCAGGCTGTGGTGTGAGATCTGACTGTAAATGCACTCCTGTGTTTTCCCTGTCACTGTCACTGCCTGCCTCCCAAACAGCTGTGCTCTGACACCGCCACGCAGGGACGACACCCAGGAGGGGGGTTAGGAGGCACTGAGAGGTTTCAGCCCAACTTCAAGAGGGAAGGGTGAATATTCATGGCAGAAATATCATTTTGTCATATCAAAGGTGGTATCAGCGTTTGCAAAACAAAGCAACTTGGGACTTTTGTAATTGATATTCTATTGTATTTTTGTTAGGTTAAATTTAAGGATTCTTGCTAAAGTATTGAAACACGTTTTCTAAAGCAAATATTTGCAAATTGTACCTATAGAAAATGAGGTTTCGTAGCTGACCGCTATGACTGATTAACGTTGTCATATTAGAGTGCAGAGGGACTTGATCAGAAGTTAACCTCTAAAAGTTCAGACTTTAAACCCAGAATTTGCTTTCTGCCTTTTAATACTGACTTTAAATATGGCAACTTGGTTTGTACATGAATATTGCAGTATTTTATTTCCATATATTAAAAATAACATTTCCGCTCAGGATAGCGATCGTGGTTTTCCTGGGAGGGAGTGGTATGATTGTCATGACAATGTCATGTGATGGTAGAATTTCTTCATTGACGAACCTATAGTAGTTGTGTATACTTTATTTACCCATGTTTCTGTTCCTACCCAAACCAGAAGGGTTTCTTTCTCGTTCATCTCCCTACTGAGCTCTGGGTGCCCGCGGTGCAGAACTGGCGCTGGCAGACTGACACCCTCGGTGCTGTTTGGTGTTTCTGGCCTGGTGCCCGTGGGGGAGGCGTTGGGAATCCCATCGTCTGTGGGGTACACAGCACTCCAGGCACACGTGGGCTCCAGGAGCTGGCGTGTGGTGGTTGGAGGGAGCCATTGGATGTTACCCACACTCCAGACAACCCATGCTGAACATTGCTCGTGTCTCGCTGCGGAAGGTGCGTGTGTGACAGACCATGGCCTGCAGGGTTTCTTTCACGTGGCCTTCTGAAACCAAAAGCGACTTCTTTTTTTCATCTTTTTTTTGTTTTTTAAGGCAGGGAGGGAGGGGTGGCTCACTCCTTTCAGAAACGTCCCACTTGGTGCATGTTTCTCAGCATTCCCTCAGGCCGTTGTGCCCGCGGGGCGCCAGCCCCTGTGCTGCCGTGGGTCAGTGTGGGGCAGGAGGAGGCCACGAGCTCGTTGGGTGTTCTGCTTCTGCCCCTGGCTCTGCAGCTCTGGGCTGCTCCGAGGGGTCGGGTCCCATGCTCAGAGCCACCCACAGTGTTCCTGCCTGGTTCTGATTCAGCTGTGCCTGTGTGTTGTCACCCGTGTGTATTGATAGCAGAGATCAGTGTAGAGCTGCCTTGTGTGCTCTGTGGCATTTCCTACATCTTTCCAGGTCAGTCGTCTTGCTGCCAGCCCAAATGATCCTACTTGGTTTAGAACAACCTTTGGCGTGACAAACTATTGACTGTTCTTAGGCAGTGGGGATAAATTTTTCTTTTTTCACCCATGACTTTTTGTGACTGACTTTGGCTGTAAAACTTTTTTTCCTTAAACAGCAAGAGGATTTTTTGTTTCATTTTTTTTTTCTCGTTTGTTTGTTCTGAGATGTGTAATTCTTTTATGGAGGGTTTTTTTTTTATTTCATTTTTTTTCTAACATTGCTTCATTAAACAATTAAATATTTAAAAATGTAATATTTGGACCAGATGTTGTGAATAATAGTAGATAAAGCTATTTTATTCTGTATTTTTAAAGCTGTTCAGTATAAATAAACGCGGGCATAGATGCAACTTGGCAGCGTGGTGGTCTGGTTCCTTTAACTACCCTTTGGGGATCCAGGTGATGGGAAGACCAAGCACCTCTTGCTAATGGGTGCCACACAAAAATCTCACCCCCAGATGCCTTTTTGGCCCTTCCAGCTGCAGCGTGGGGACCTGTCCCTGCTCCTCCAGGCAGCAAAACTCCTGTGGAACCAACTGCAGGGGCAGTTCCTGAGCAGTGTCCGTGCAGCAGAACTTAGGTGACTCATTTCCTAATTGAAATGGAAAACCAGCCTTCAGACTCAATTAGTGCACTGAGATTTGAGTCACTGTCCAGTTGAGAGCATGAGCAGCAAGAGAAATAACCTCTGGTTTAGGGTGAAGCCTTTAGGTTTGGGAATTGGGTTGAATTCTTG